TTTTTTTTTCGGTTATCGTGGTAGTGAGTTTTACCTGAGGGCCCCTCAACTTTCTGCACCCCTCCCCCCTTCAATTTTTATTTTAAGCTCTTTTTTGAGGTTATGTCATACGCATAACCGAGTGGTGAAATATGCGCATTTTTTGATGACCGATGTTTTCACTTGGGGAATTGATTGTTTTAGTATTGAGGGAAATTGGATTTTACCTTTATGATGGGGGTGAAATGGCGGGGGGTAGGGGGTAATGTAAAGGTGACCTCATGATTTGTGTGTTTGTGGTATACAAGTGTATAAATATCATGTGTAATATCATTAATTTGATGATACGGATGAGATATTCTACTAGGGGGCTACACCCCGTGCTCGCTTCGCTCGTTAATACCGAGGGGGCTTAGCCCCCCAGTACAATATGTAGTATGGTAAAATATTCACATTTTTTTATGGTCAATGTTTGCACTTCGGAACTTTTTTCATGACAATTTCATGACATTACGCGATTTGTCATGAATTTATCATGAAACAAGTTCCGAAGTGAAAACATTGACCATAAATAAATGTAAATATTTTACCATACTACATATTCAACTGGGGAGCCCCCGGTATCAGCGAACGCAGCGGGCGGGGGGCTTGACCCCCCTCCCATGTGGACATTTGAATTCCATAGGTTGGTTTTATAGCGAATTCTTGATATATAAAGAATTATATGGCATGCTGCGAATAATATATCATCATCAATGAAGGGGGGCTTAGCCCCGCGGTAAAACGGTCCAAGTTGATTTAGCACTTAGTTCAATTTTCGGGAAATATCTCCGAATTAAACTGAAATATCGAATTTTTCGTAATTACCTTTTTTGTAGTGTGATTCAATGGCTACAAAAAAGATATAGACAAAAATTTTGCTATCTCCCATAGATTTCGACATATTCATTGAAAACTGACCAATAGTCAAAATCTACTTGGACAGTTTTACCGCTTTGTAACTGATAAGGAAGTTTTCTGTACGAAAATAAATTCCATGTGCCTGAAAAGGAGGTGAAATATATATAATATCAATATCTCAATATATATAAATCGTAAATTTGAATCTGAGCGACTACAAAGTCTCTTTGTAAGCAAAAAAAGAATTATAAAGAGTAAAAAATGATTTTGTCCCACGAATAAATGCATTGTTGCATAATTTTTATATCACCCTTGGTTAACATTCCCCCATTGAAACGTTGTGTAATGCAGAATGCCCTGTGCCCACTGGTGTGTGCCGTGTGGTTAGCAGCGGAGAGAGAGAGCACTTTACGTGCGTCATTTAAGAGAAGCTTAATGCCGCCGTAAAATGCAACCAAATGGCCCACCGACACTCGTCCCTTCATCTTTCACCTTATACCATAAGGCGGGTTTTATGTATTCAGGATGTTCGAATCTTCGCTCAATGAGGGAGCCAAAATGTGGCTACACACCCAATATGTGGTATTTGTGAATTCCATTGAAATATCAGGGGTAATAATAATAAAGTTTACAGGCTTTTTTTTATTGCCGTTGTTTGTGGCAAATATGACGGGATTATTGCCATTTAATTGGCTGATGATCAAGTTTACGGATCGGGAAGAGAAATTTTAACGTGAAAATATTTTTTTTTCTTGGGGAAATTTATTTTTCTCTTTTTTGAAATTGAAAATTACTTTGTGAACATAGTAATTTTCAACGGGCAATACAGTAGAAAATGCACGAACCAAAAAATAATTTTCAAAAGTGTTAAAAATGCTTCCTTTTTCTTACCAATTTTTATTATTGAACGACGAGAAATTACTCAAATCATATGAATTTTTACTATGTTAAATTGTAATTTTTTCTTACGATTTAAAACTAATAAAGGTTATACTCTCGCGCCTCCTACATTTTACTCGAGGAAATAGCTGAACTTACTATGTCGACTAGTAAAAACTCCAGCGGACGATGAGAGCATCGATTGTTTTCAATTTTTCGTATCTCCTCCCTCCGTCGACCATGCAATGGCCCGGGTGGCGGATTCTATCATTCTAAAAAATTCAATCCTTCCTCTCTCCCCTCCTTTTTTTCAGAATGAATATACGTGAAGCTAAATTATTGATAATAATTTTCAAGGATGATAAAGAAGATTAAATATGGTTTTTCACTTCGGTTATTCAAAAAATCCTCCTCTCCCTTGTCCTCTTCCGCGGGGGAGAGAATATTTTTTTAACCGACGAAGTTGACATTCATGTTTATCCTCCTAAATTTTACTCGTGTCAATTGAAAATTCAACTTTTATGCTACCATTTTCTACTATTCCGACTCTCAATTTTTACTATGTTCAACAGTAATTTTTCCAACGGACCATCGTATTTTAATTTTGTCAGCCGTATTTTTTCATCCAGCACGTCGTAGTTCGTCATTCATTCTCAAAAGTACCATGTTGAAAATAAAAAATGATTTAAATTCTCTCCGCGTAAATCATTTCATATTATTTAAAAAATGAAATGAAATGAAACAGAATAAAAAGTTGCCGTAGCGAAATTTTTTCACATCATCTTTTATCTCTTCTTCATATTCATTTTCGAAACATTGAAATGGCATTCTTCATACTCCAGGATTACCCATTCACCCCTCGAGTCAGAAAATATTAGGCATAATGAAGCATTTTGTAATGGGCGTGACGCCGTGAGAATAAAAAATATACGTGCGAAACGCAACAAAATGTTTTGCTGTTTAATGGAGAAGAAATACCCAAGTATTGTTATGTACAAAGCCCCCGCGGGTTGACGTGTCCCTCTCCCGTTGGAATAGTCTCCTCGATTCTCGACTCCCGGCATTTTAATCCACCGACGTCACAGCTCTATCTGCCTCCC